GCAATTAACCTAATTCAAGTTTTGTGCAAAAACGCATGATCGCTCCGGCTCGCCTGGTGCTTTCCAACCTACGTTCATTTGGTACTCGCAAATGAGGCAAGCGATTTTAATAACGTTGGGATTGACTGAGGGTTGTGAGGCCCATATTTGCCAATGTTACTGCGAGTCGGAACTCACTGAAGCAAAAAATCCTATTGTTCTGAGCGACTGTGATTTTTGGAACTTACCCTCGAAGCCGCAAGAGAGTATTTTTTCCCAAAAACGAGTACGTTTTATGCTGTCAGGTGAGGCTTTAATAAATGAAACAAAGACCTACTGTGCAAAAAACTCCATTCAGGATTCAATGTGGTGGCTTTAAGCTGAAATTGTGTATGCTGAAAAAAGCATGTTGAGAGAAGAGCCATAGCCTTTAATGAGCGTATCAGTAACGACAGGCTATCAGTGTAGTGTTAAAATAGGCTGAGATCACCAGTTTGGTATAAGTATTTAGCTGCAAGGATCAATTTTTACCAGCCTTTGTTGCAGCACCAATAAGCTAAGATCGCACTGGCTTAAAGTTGAAGTACTAAAAGCTTTTACAGAACTTTTAAAATCCTAATACAGTTTGGGGCAAATGATTAAGAAAAAAATTTAAAGACTACTGCAGTATAAGGAATACTGCAGCATCCTACGACTACTGTGGCGGTGCTGTCTGTTTTTGAACTGTGTACCAAAGTATTAGTGAAAAAGTGGTGCCTGTCTGATAAACAACAGTAAGAACCAACCAGACGGTGGGTTATTCAGGGCTGTTTTCTTTCGCATGCTGCTTTTGGTCGATTTTTGGTTTTTCAGTGGACGTTTTCTTCTCGTTCTTCGTATCGGCTTTCTCAGTTGTAGTTTTCAGGTTTCCCGCATCAGCCAGACTTTTGCCTGGATTTGGTGCGCTTTTGTTTGGTGCTGTATCACTGCCTTTTGTATCGGCTGCTATTACCGTATCGTTGAGGTCAGTCCCAAAAGCAGTATCATTCTGTGTGAAAACGGACGTATCATTGGCTGCCACCACCACTGTTTCTGAATCTCGAGCTGCTAAAATATTCTCCGGTTTACTGTCCCGTGCTTCCGCTGCTGCTATGATCTCGAAAGGCAAACCGGGGTCATTGCCGAGTTGCTGCAATAATACCAAGTTTTACTTTAGAAGTTTTGACGAGCAGCAGAGTGTGCATGAGCAATATGAAATAGGTTCTAGGTTTAGCGATCGATATCTGGATTTGTAAAAGACAACACTGGATGCTGGCGGTCTAAGCGTGATTGCAATTAGCTGATATGTGAAGACGAAGGATTCCAACCAGTTAGCAAGAAAATCAATCACTCCACTACTCATTCATTCATTTCGGTGCTAATTTTTTACTCCACATATCACTTCGTTACCCTATCAACAGTCTGTTGGCAAATGCTGTCATCACTTAAATCATCCCGAAGTACCATCACTTCGCGCGGGAGATGAAAAAAAATTCTTTCCCAGAATGTAATTATTTCACACTGCGAGGCGTGTTTTCTCTCTTCCTTTCGTTTTTTTATCCATAAAAACGACAACTTTTATTTTCATGATAATTTCTGACGCAAAATTCAAATTTTACGGTAAGGCATCTTCGAAAAGCGCGGTGCTGTAAAAAAATATGTACAGCAGAACATAGCCTACCGCAGAAACGACGTACAACGAGGCAGCGACGGCCAAAGCTATATAATTCATCTGAAATGAACAGTTTAACGCGCTGAAATATTCGCTGCGTTCGAAAGAGCATGAAATACAGTAAAAATCATGTGCATTAGAAATGGCAGCTCTGAAACAAACAGGGTGGCTAGCGCGGTTATAAGGTTTTTCATAGGCTGATGCAGGTGCGCAGTGGATATAAAAATCACTCGAACTATCAATTTAGGACTGCCCTGTTAGTGAAGCTGCTAGGATGTCGCTACATGTCTAACGCGGTTATGTCAAGTACGTCAGCAGAAATAAATGTTTTCCACAGCGATTGTGCACAAAGAATGGCACTAAAATTCTGCACTTATTGCTCACTCTGTTCCAGAGATCTAATGCCGGCTCATGTAGAAGTTCGAAACCATTCGCTGTCCTTAGCACACCACAACTAATTTTATGGCAACAAATAATGAAAAAATTAAAAAAAAGATTCGTCCACAAGCGAATTCGAACATACCACTTTATCTTGAAAATAGATGCTACTGTTCTCAAGAAAACTTTTAAAAAAATGAACTATGCAGGGCAAATAGATTACAGCATATTGCTAACATGGATCATAGGCAAAGTCCGAATCAAACCACAAAAAGCTTTATTTTTCTATTATTACAAGAAACGGGATAGGCAAACAATTGTCTCCTTCAAAAAGTGTAGACGCTAATCGTCATTTTTCTAAAGGATTTCAATAACTTTAATACTGCTGGAGTTCTAAAAACGCAAGTTGGAATGCTCCAGGATTGCCGGTGCAATCACGCGTTTTTGCACTAAACTCGCAGATCGCTAATAGCAGGGATGATCTATGCACTGTAGCCTAACAACTAGGTTCATATTAGCCATGCGTTGCCCTTCTCCAGCATGCACAAGAAAGGGCGTCATTTGAGATGAAAGTGTTGCATTATAGGACCGCATGGACCTCCACGCATATGATTATCAGTTCTTATTATGCGTTTTTGCATATATGCAAATTTTAAAAAGGCATTTTGGCAAGAGGTTGTGTGTGTATGTCTGTGTGTTCGCAACCTTTTCTCACCCATTTTCAACTCGAGAACCAGAACAGTTAGAAGGCTGAAACTTTGAGAGTATGTGCCCACACCATGCGCGACCCTCTCGTTTTGATATCATCGTTCGCCTGCGCCTGGGGGCCGCGTACGGAAATCTTAAAAAAATATGCAAATTTTTGGGGGGAAAAGCGATCTCAGGAATCAGACAAGGTAAGAAGCTGTAATCTTGCAGGGGTATTCCCTGTGTATGTGTGAATTGGAGATTTCAGATTCAGCCTGCATGCGTGGTATTCACGTAAGGCTTATGAAAATTTTAGCGGGAAAGTTACTAGCTCGGGAACCAGAAAAACCAGAAGGCTGAAATTTAGGAGAATGTTCTCTGTCCAAGAATAACTTAAATTACTAACTCGGGAACCAGAAAAGCAAGAAAGCTGAAATTCTAGAGGAATGTTCACTTCCCAAATAAAACTTAAATATTCCAAATTCAGCCTTCAGTTATGTGAAATTCTCACGTATGGGCACTTAAAAGTTTCAGCGGGAAAACTACTCATTGAACAGACAGGTTGCTTTCAAAAAACGACCATCAAGCGGGAATTATTCATTTACTTTGTGCAAAATTTATGCTGATTTTACGCTAGTAAGCGTAAAAGGTAGGCGTAAGGCAGAAATCGTTCATGCAGTTGATGACCTGAGTATTACAAGTCATGAGTAAAAACGCATTATCGCACCTACAAGTCTGATGCATCTTAAACTGAGTTTGCATTAAGCCCGTCGTTTTTTATGCGTTTTTGCCTATGTGCAAATTGCAAAAACGCATACTGTGACCTTGTCTGTGTGTGCGTGTGTGTGTGACCAAACAAGTTCCAGTGCCAAGATTTTGCTATTAGACTCCCCGACCAGGTGCCACCGTACCAACCCTCACACAAGTTTGGGCTCCGCGTACGGGAGGAAGGGGGGAGGGTGAAAGTTTTGGCAGGAAAACTGATAACTTGGAAACGAGAAAAGAAAAAAGCTGAAATTTTGAGGCTATGCTCCCCGTCCACGTGTAACTCAAAGATTTCAAATTCGGCCCCCTGGTGTGCGTGGTTTCCGCATGCAGCCCCGCGAAATTTTTTGGCGGGAAAATGGCTAATTAGGGAACCAGGGAATCTGGGAGGCTGAAATTTTCAAGAAATGTTCCTAGCATAAGTGGAACATAAACCTATCAAATTCAGCCCCCAGTCGTACATAATTCTCACGTACAGCAGGGAAATTTTTTGGCGGGAAAATGGCTAACTCGGGAACTAGCAAAGCTGAGAAGCTGAAATATTCAGAGGATGTTCTCAGCCCACACATGACTTAAAGTTATCAAATTTAGCCCCCAGGCATGTGCGGTTGTCAATTATGGCCCTGTGAAACTTTTTTGGCGGGAAAATGGTTAACTCGGGAACTAGAAAAGCTGGAAAGCTGAAATTTTAGGAGATTATTCCCTGTCCAAATACAACTTAAAGATTTCAAATTCACTCTCCATGTACGCGTAGTTCTCATGTACAGGCACTTAAATTTTTGATGGGAAATTACTCATTGAACAGTTGAGTCATTTTCAGAAAAAGGACCGCTAAACGGAAATTGTTTATTTTCTTTTACGCAAAATTTACGGTGATTTACGGTATTGAGAGCACAAGGTAGGTGTGAAAAATAACCGTTCATGCAACTAACCTAATTCAAGTCTGGTGCAAAAACTCACGATCGCACCAGCTTGCCTGGTGCGTTCCAACCTGGGAAAATGCCCGCTTTTCGAAAAAATGAAACCAGGCTGGAACGCACCGGACGGGCCCGTGCGACCATGCATTTTTGCACCGGACTTGATGTACTCAGGTCATTAACTGCATGAATGGTTGTTGCTTTGCACTTACCTTTTGCGATCACTAGCACA